TCCTGCGCGCATCGACCGCAAAAGTACCGTCGATTTTCGTTACGGTCGCGGGAACATTCGGGATCAGAAAGGCAACAAGGTTAAAGACATCTTCAAGCTTCGCGTTGAAGTCTGACAACTTCGGTGCGGTATCTAGGAGCTCTCCCCTTTTATTTTCATTCCCTGTCAGAATCGTAAAACCGGTTCTGACTCGGTGTACAGAGCATGCGTCACTCAAGTTTCACTGCAGCTCTTCCTGTATTTGTTCCCCTAAAGCGCCAGGTGAAAGCTTGCGCCACGGGTGCTCCTTTTCTAGGCGAAGGAACAGTCGTTTTTCGACTTTCGCCTTCGGAGCTTCTTTATTTTGGGCTTTGGCCGCAGGTCGCAGCATAGCCTTAGCTTTAGGAACTACTTTTTGTGGCAGTCCGTTTTTCGCTACCGTAGCCCAGGTGCTTTTGACAGGCAGCACTGGAACGGCGGGTTTTGGTGTGCTCCTGGCGTCGGGAGCCCTTGGAAGTGGGTTCGCCGAGCGAGGAGGGAGGACGGGTGGTGTAGTGGTCGCACCCGTGGTCATGTATTGCGCAATGACGGCGCGTAAGGAGACTCTCATCGAGTCTACGAATTGTCTATCTGACCCGTTAGTCAAAGGGAGGAGGGTGGCTTCGACGCTAGAGATGGCGGCGGAGCAGAGGGCCAGATTTGCCGCTATTTCGGCGGCACGTCGTTGTTCAGCTTCGACTATTGGTCGGAGCTCGAGGGGACACTCTGCTTTCGAGACAGCTTTCGGCTGCGACGTTAATTTTGACGCTGCTATTGGTGCAGCATTTTCCGACAGCTTTGACGCGGTCGGGGGAGATTTTGACGATTCTCCAATCCCGTGGGGGACGGCGGGGAGGGCTTTTTCCTTCCCTTTGATTGAGACCTTGCTCATCTCCGCGCATTTCGGAGACTGGACAAGGCTGGGTAATTGTTCGAGAGCTGTTGGAAAATGAAGCATAATCCTATTAGTAATGATTACCTTCATTACGTAAGGGTTCCCATCGGAATCCCTACATCCACTATTCACACTCTAGTCCCGTCTCTCTTGTATGATTTGCATGAACAGGTACTAGTGTGGCTCTTCTTCTATGACAAGAGAACACAGCGCAAATGACAGCTCACCACTTCTCACTGATTTACTTAATGATATTCTTACGACGTTTTTTATGGACTTGATTGATACCTTTTTATATAAAAACAAATAATCAATTCACTCTTCACCGCTCTGCCTTCAGTGATCTTTTTTCTTTCAATAAGAGCCCTCGAGCGGACTCTCGTGTTGTCCAACGAAACATTTAGACGCTTTTTACGAACTGGAGGCTTGGTGAAAATGCCTAGGCTCGATCACAATTCTAAGATGAATGCGACAAAATCGAGGGATGGGAAAGAGAAAAAAATAAATTTCTCGAGCTGCGATGTGTGGTTTATGGGGATTACATTAGATACGACTGGCAGCTTTGTTGAGTAATTTTCGAATAACCTTATGACTTCATGACCTTTCATGTATTGTCATAGAAATGATGATAAATTAAGCTGATGAGTAATGAGCTAGCTGTTTAGGTAGGCGTTAGGAGAGTAGAATATATATATATACAGTTCATTATCCTGATTTGGCGCCTTGAGGCCCTGTTGTATTTAGATAGTTGCATATATAAAAGGTCTAACTTCTTCTAAGTCTACTGAGCAGCAGAGATATACAAAAGTCCGTACATGATGAGTATCACGTGGCTACCTTGGGTAATACTTGCCAATCACAACAGGCCCATGCAGGCTTTTATCGGAAGATATGTACTTTAAATAGGATGACTCAATTTGACATTTAGAACACTCACACTCAGATTTCATTTGCAGATACCACTCGAGGGTAACCCTTACGCGTATAACCACTTTCGTGCATACCCACAACAGGGAAAAGCGTGAAAACCCTGTGGCTATCCAAGTGTGCTTTCATCATCTCACAAGTACAATATCACCGCGAGAGAGAGTGGTGTGTGGGTCTGACTGGATTCGAACCAGCTTTCTCCTGTCTCGAATGGGGTAGGTCTTCAATTTACCCAGTATCTACTTGGGAGAACAGCCCGGATGGTGTACCACTGCACCACCCAACCCGAGAGTAGGATAACTGCTATACATACGTGTTTCAGTTTGCTAGAAAGACAAGAAGGGATAGAGTGAGATATCTTTATTGTACTACTTGAGTCTATGACTATCTAGCACACTGGGCTCCTCTCTGACCCAGGCCACACCTTGTACAATGCTCCTATCCTCTTCTGTTACTTCAAAGTTCATTGATATATTGCCCGTGATGGATAGCCATTCAGCTCAGTGCTTACACGTGGAATCAGCCAGCTTTTTCACGAAACCTTCTACCCAAAAGTAAAACATAAAAAAATGGTAGCAATGGAAACTGCGTGCGCGGGAAAAAGTCTCAAAAAACCTGCAGGCCCAGCCAGGCGAGGCCTAGACACCGGGACCACATGAGGTGCGCATATTCATCTATATCTCCCTTCTTCGTAACATTTGAGGTCGACTTGATCCAATCCGCCATCTCCGTATCGGGTGCTGGGTACGCTCCGGAAACTCATCGAATGGCTTCTCCTCCATGATCAAGGGTTGGTGATGAGTAGGGCTCCGACCCTACCATCTGATCTGATCGTGGTTAGCTTCATGATAATGATGATAGGAGGATGTGTTGAGAGATGAAGACGATATAGACGGCGCAAGGGATTGAGAATCCTCGTCGAAGTGAGGACTTTGTTACTCAATCTTGGCTCTGCAGAATCTACAGTGAGAGCTGGAGGTTCGTAGGGGACACCACTGACAGGTGTTGAGAATAGTCCCCCTGTTATTATAGAGTGATAGACTCAATAGGACAATAAAGATATATAAAGCCTACTTTGACCATTAAGTAAATGCTTAAATCTCATCCAATCCTTGTCTTCACTATTTCAGCGACATCTATCCATACTGTAAAACTTAGGAGGTATATGTGAAAGTCACATGATCTGTCATAGTGAGGGACCGAATTGAAGCATAAATGATGAATCATTTGGTGCTGCGAGTCAATTACAGCACTGAAATATCTTCTCGCACCCCTAATCACGACTCTGAGCATCTTTTTTTTTATCATTTAATGTGTATTCAGCTGTCTAGCTATGACACATGACCGGTACTATGTGTACATGTTGGATGACTCTTTCGACATTAGAGACACTCATACTCTAGATTTCATTCGCAAATACCACTATGAGGTATGCTTGCTTACACATACAGTCGACCCTCATTCGTAAGTACCCACCAAAGGGAATTTCAAAACCTTTGGTTATTCAAGCGTGCCTTCGTCATCCATTTATACCAGCGATGCGAGAGAAGTGGTTGTGTTTTGCCGGATTCGAACCAGCGATCTACTGTATCGAGTGGGATATGTGCCTAGGCTACTCAAACATTACCAGAGAACACCACCAGGAAGTGGACCACGGCACCTTCCATCATTGACTTGTGCTTATAGTGTCAGCTGCACTCTCGCAACTGAAAGCTTGGCACGCACAAAGCTCAATTCGTAAAACTCATTCGCAAACTTCAAAATTTCACGCCCATCGAAGTTATATCCATCCTCCGCATCATCTTGTTAACTTGTCCTGATTCCTCTCACGTCCATCCCAAAGAGCTGTCTCCCAGATTTGTGCCCCACGCTTTGCTTCCTCCTGCGGGTGTAAATATCGGCGTGGGCGTGTATATGGTGGTCAACTAAGACCAGAGAAAGTCGACAAGGAGTGTGATCATTGGAATGAGGATGTACTAGGTCGTACTTGTAGACTTGATGAGGCTTAGTAGGAATAGATTTCGTTTGGAGTGAAAGATTGAGATGGTGGAGTATTTTGAATTATTGCCTCGTGGGCCAACTTGTTCGGTATTACGAAATTTGACTGAACTTGGCTCTGGGAGAATATTTCACTCCCAGGTTCGTAAAGGACACCGCGTACAGGTGTTCAGTCTTGCCCTCCGACTCTGAGCATCATCATTAGCCCGATATGTCTGTACGCAGATCGCACTTGCGTTTGCGCTTCTGGACTTAATCCAAACTTATGCTTGCATAAATCTGCTTACACCTACTAATCTAATCATTACATGATAAAATCCGTGAATATGCTAACGCCAAGCTATAAACTTGAACATACAACAGAGGCAGTTTTAGTAAAATAAAAGATGACATTTTGAGACGTATCGCTTTGCTACGCATCTCGTGTTCGAAGGAGCCTCAATATGATTACCGCTGACCGGGTTCAATAATTTTCAAATAGGAGTCAGAAAGTCAGAGAAACTCTTCATTACATTCTCTGGTTGAGAACGATGACAGTACTAAAGGATTTACAAAGAGGCATCCGACTTGGTATCCTAATGTTAGTCACATTATAAAGATCTGACTTCAATATACGTTAGAAATTACAGTGGTATTATAACAGTCATGATAACTGCGTAAACTGGCTACTATATCGGGATAGACCTATCCGAGTCTTGTGAAAGCTAAAAAATCATCCTGGCGTCATTCATGATGCTTGGTCATCACTCTAGTGGTATCCTTTTGTATCATTTCCCATCACAAAACTTCATAAATACTACTTGGAGCGTTCGCCAGACAATGTCATTTCTCATCATCTTTTGCAACGGGCTGTAGCCATTATATAATTACTCCTCGGAATCCACTTTTCTTGATTAGAAAGGTCCCACCATTCCATTCAAGGGCCGATACCGAAATCTTAGACGACCAAACATTGCATTACAAGCATATTAAAAGCACTTCAGAACGGCACTTTTTCAAACCGAACAAATATTAACAATTGAGTGTCGAATACATTGGTGAATGTGACAGGCAAAGTTATTATAGCGCTTTCATGCTCTCAACAGATACGGGACAAAAGTGGTTCGCTTTATTAGATCTATGTGTTTCGTCGTCATCATCATTCGTTACGAGGTCTGCATTGCTACAATTGATATCGTGTATTTCGATTATTGAGGTTGGTACCGCGATCGGACGTTTCCTGAGCACGATTATCGTCCCACACATTATCGCTTACATTAGTCTCAATTTCGACGTTTCCTAAATTGAGCGGTCCATTTTGACGAGGTCGTGTGAACGAGCCATTACCAGCTCCCCAGTCAGGCCCGGGGTTCCGCGGTTCGCGTTGAGAAAGGCTAGCAGTTGCACTAGTACGAGGGATCTCCTCTATTTTGCAGCCACTGGTTGGTCTTTGACTACCAATAGGTCCGGTGCTTGCTACTTGAGGATCTCTTTCGGTTCCTATCCTTCCAACACCATTTGTTCGATTTCCGGTGAGACGATTATCGAACAACGACAAATTGCTCATATTATTGTTGAGATAAAGTTCATCTCGGTGTGTTGTTGCTCCTGCAGAGGTTGGCGTTAGACTTGGGGTTCCAGATGCCGCTGGAGAGTGACCATAATCAGTGTAACGAATAATATTTTGCTGAAGACCAACAGGAAAGCTGGCTGTAGAGGGTGCAGGCGAGGGTGTGTAAGAACGCAAATCAGCAAATGATTTGGCTGCTCTGAGATTGTGTGATCCGTTAAGCCCAGCTAGTCCTGGTGATAAAGGGGTATCTAGGAGACCTGACGCTTGACGACCAACAGTTCGTTGGTACCCTTCGTTTCCTAAGGCTTCTGAGAAATCTATTGTTGCGGCACGATTAAGTCCTCGCCGAGATTCATTGTAGAAACCTCCAGGCAAATGGGGGATTGGGGGACATATTTCGGCGGGGCGTTTTTTAAGAATTTGAACGCATCTACCATCTCCCTCTCCTTGTGACCTGTGCTCTAGACCCAAATGATGTGCCATAGTATGTATTTGTCTTCGGTCAGCGGGACTGATAGAGGCAGGAAATATTAGGCTATCTCTACTAGGATCTTTTTTGAAAACGACTATTTCAGTGTAATAACCGAGGCTGACTGGGTCGTTTAAGTCAATATCTATGTACATTAGCCGCTCTCTCGTTTAATTTCAAGTTCTTTCTTACCTTGTCCAAACTTATCACGCATGGAAACAGGGGAAGGTGAGACTGTTTGTCCTGATCCTAAGGAGTTGATAGAGGCCTGGTTATGAAGCGGATTATGTACTTGTCCTGGGGGTATAGGGCGGTGTTGTTCCTCCAATTGCCCTCGCTTTTCTCTCTTGTCTCTCTCTATGCGCTCTCTTTCTTGTATTGGAAGCATCTTCTTGTATTCAACTCTAAGTTTTCGTCCATTCAAGTCCATTGAGTTCATATGCTCTATGACTATCTTTGTTTCTTCTGGACTTGAGAAATTCGCAAATGCTAAACCCCTAAAAACCCCCTGATCAAAGTGGTAGTTGAATGCATAGGGTAGGGGTAAAGTCATGTCAGTCATGAGTTGCAGTATTTGCTCCTTTTTCACGGCAAATGGTATATTTTTGATGACCAAAGCTGTAGGAATTAGTTCTTCAGAGTCTGAGGCGCTATTTGGTGAAGAACGACGCTGAATTTGGTGAAATGATGGTTGAGAAAACTGAGGTTGAGGGTGATAGTTGTTTATGCCTGTATTTGTAGCTGGTTGTTCCATCCAGCCCTACGACCTATTAGTCATGAAGTAATATCATTTTATTTCATCGCTACTTACGTTTGGAAGGCAGGGACGGCGGTTTGTTGCTTTTGGTCGACCAGTTCCAGCCATGAGACAATTATTGTTAGGGGCACCATAACTCCAGGTCTGATTATCAAAAGGGTATCCAGAGTGTAAAGTGACGGCGGTCATGCGATCAAATCTTGAAGTGGGATCGTACCGTGCAGTACCAGTTGTTTGTTCATCGTTATATAATCCTGGTGGTTGCATAGAAATACTGTTGCGAAAATTTTCGAAGTGGAGCGATTGAGATAAAGTCGAATGTGAGGGCTGACGATATATTAAGTGACCACCGCGCATGGAACCGGGTGAGCGACTAGAGTAGAGCGGGATCCCATAAGATTCGTCACCGTACTGAGCCATTACCGGTAAATGCTTAACTTTATCTCAGCCAGTAGACAAATTGATATAAATCTAATAGGCTGTCAATATTCGGATAGGTTTATTATTTAATTTCCTTTCAGGTTCATCAAACTAGGTCGCTCTTGAAAAGTTAAAGCGAGCATAAAGCAAATTAAAATCCTCAGGATATTCTGACCAGCTGACGTCGTTTGGAAGATAGTTATCTAGTTCGGCATGAGCAGAGAATGAATTTTTGGTGTCAGTTTTCGAAACTTTCAATTATTGTGGAGGTGGATGCTGAGAGTGATGAAGGCCGTAGTCACATGAAATGAGCAGGATTACCTGGGTATCCTGATTTGATAGTCTCGATAGCGATAAATGAGATGTCTGTGTAGGTTGAAGGTTATTAGGTTGGTTAAAAGTTCTTGTAAATCAGACGGGGTGAAAGAAGTAATGGGAGCCATATTTGGCTAGTCCACTTTAGGACTAAAGGGACGCAAATCTAGCGAGAGCCTGGTAAGTAATTTTCATCCGTAATCCATGGCAATGATCAAAGACATCATAGATCAACAAAAACATATAAATCAATCTGTTAGTCTCAGATTTTTTTTGACACATATTCTCATTGTTCACAAAAGAATTCTCCTTCATCCACCGCTGGATTTCAGTGTTCCGATTTCTATATCAGCGACACAACAAATACAACCATTTGCCAGGGAACGGTTCCCTGCTATAAAATTTCCCTACCGACGATGAACGTGGAGCTTGGGACAAAAGCAATTCTATGCTTGAATGCGATAATTTCAGAGCGCTAGGGCCGACCTAGGTAAAATACAATCACAGAGAGATGTAATGTAATTCATGAATCATGTTTAAAGGGGATGTAGATGTGAAAAACGGTCCCGTTTTGAACAAGGTAGCTGCTAGAAGCTCAAATGAAGAAACACAACCTTAAAGCATTGTTCCTCAATACAGAAATTAAATTAAACCTTGAAACACTATTGACTTTTACCTGTCGACTGAATGATAGATCTAGTTCCTCACGTTGAAACCATCGGCAGCCACAAGTAGGCCGGGATAGTAATGCTGCGATTGAATTTGTCGCGCTTGATCTTTTAATTTGGGGTTCACGCAACTCGGGGTAGAACATCTGTCTTCGGACATGGTGTAATCATATTTCATTCACAGAGCCCAGCAGGTCTTTCGCTTAGCCCCTGGGTATTTTCTTCTGTCTAAAATTGTGATCGTTGCTGAGCTCCGTCGTCCTCAGATTGTACCATTGGACTGGAATGCATAAACCTATAGCATTCCTCCATCATCCCTTGACTTTTCAGAAGTGGCCCACGAGCTTGGTCATTGAAGACCTAGATTTAGTTGTGTCATCGGGAATATGAGATCAATGGCGGGGATCAACTTCAGGAACGGTAATGGGGAATGCATCCAGTTCCAACGCAGTCCAATTAAGACGATCATGTGGGGGAGTAGTCAACCGTTGGCCCAGATCAGGCACCCGCGTGCTAATTTTGTGCCAATTTAAATGTGGCATAGAAATGTCGTCTATTTGAGAAACAGAACATACGCTCAGACGAGCTGGAATTCGGCACGACATAAACAGCTCGTCACCTCACAATTTCCTCGGAGCGTCAATTGAACATCCACATTCTCTACAGGTGGTTGAGTTCTTCCTCTTGAAGTTGTGACTACATTTGCACCTATTTTACTCGCGTAAGAATGCGACACTCGAAACCATAGGGACTGCCCTATCTATGAACCCCTACACCACCTATTTCTCAATTTGGTCGCTTCTTTGCTGGCTACAGCATTCGACTACTCACAACTGCAGGACGACGACCGCGTCAGTTTACGCGCCTCCCCTCCAAGATGCTCTGTATTACTCGATGGCCACAGATCCAATCGTATCCAGTGATTAGATAATCTTGGCCAATGCAAGGTCAGTGATAATTTCAGCGCGGAGATTGACGGCTTTAGTTCTCGACCCCCTTCCTTTGCCGATGATCCTAAACCCACCGCGGTACTTTGGTCTACGGTATCAGCCGAGAATGCTGTCTACCCCAAATCTCACTAACTCGTAAGCTGCAGCTATTGCCCCATAGTCTGCATGGGCAGAATCCTGCATCAAACGGGAAGACATACCACAGCCCGAGAATTACTCGAGCCTGTCTGGCCTCCTCAACGAATGAAATGAAAGTGAGCACGTGATATAGACATGGAATATCCGATTTAAGAATGTGCCCTGGGCGAGATGCATGCTTGGTTCATGCTCAAGCTCAGGGACCTTGTGGCCGTGCTCGAGCTGGCCCGTAACAAGACATGGTTTTATGCTCAACTCCTATCCTCTGCATAACATTTCCGGCCTTTAATCCCCTCCTCATTGCCATCCGAGCCCCTGTAACGAGTTCTAAACCCCCATAACTCTGCGCCGTTCCGATTCACCGCCGTGGATCGACGTGTTCCACTTAGACTCATGAAAGGCGCATGACCCTCCTACCTAAGCACGTTGTTCATGCCTCGCCAGGTACAGCCTGGCTCATTTCCAGTGCAGCGCCCTACCGTGATCCTGGGATGCCTTGCAAGACTCGTAACGCGCATACAGGTATTCAGAATGAAGAGACGGTGAGAACTTCTCTCAAGCACATGTCAAATTGGCGGGCAATGGAGAGGAAGCTCGCCATTGTCGCTATGCTTCAGCGAGCAGGGCGACAAAGCATCATCAATCAACTTACAGCTCAGACTTTTCCAACGCCATTTCAGGGGCCGTGTCGTCGACAGTGAGAAGGAAGGTCTCGGTTATCATGCCTCACCTGGCTCGCTAGGCGTTCGCTTGCAGGACAAATCGGCCTCTTACTCTATCTGCACTAGTGGTAACCTCATATTGTACGGGAATAAAGGCGATCCGCACCACCCTCGCGTCGTCCCCTAAATTAGTGAACCGGGTCAGGCCGGTAGGGCGGCCAGGGTCCCTTTTGCCCGTAGTAGCGGTTCAGGACCATGCTTTTCATTGTCATTTCCATGTTCCGTCGGCATCCCTAGGCCCTGCGTAGGCATGAAGTATTTTACCTTCTCCCTCTCATTTGGCGTTATTCTTCTACCTGCCCGCCACACTGGTGTCACCCTGTTCTCGGGACGATCGGAACGTCTTGTTGGTACACGCTCGCTTGCGGTTAGACGAAGCTTGTCGACCCAACCATTGTAGCAGCTACAGATGCAAATTGCGAACTGTTTTTATTGATATCAGTATTGTCCTTTCTCGGTCTAAAGGATACGGGGAAAGGGGCCTGATCATCATCGACCTCGAAAATAGATCCCGAAGTGAACATTGACATGTCACATGCAGCCAGAGTTTCCAAGTAGGCGCTGGGAGTCCTTCATGGTACTAGACTCAGTGGGGACTTATTTTAAATCTAACCTAATCTGATGCATTTTATCCATTCCCGGCACATAACTGTGTGGCCCACATCAAAATGCTAATCATCCTTGCATGTGTTTATAGTGGCACAGTCTCGTTGGGTTCTCCCATTAGACAAGGGTGAGTAGGCCCAGCTCTTATCTGCGAAATAATCAAATTATCTAACCTGCGCTGGAATATATTCACCTTGGCTTTGTGATAATAGGCTGCCACGCTCTTCTCTAATTTCAGTAAATAAATTCAATTTTCCTTTAAATTCCGCACACCACCTCTCATACAACTTTCGGCGATTTTGAAGCGATTCTTAGGGACTCCGCATGACTCGATAGGCTATATTTGCGGCCTTTTGAAAATCTGTTGCAGCAAATCACTGAAGTATAGCCCAGTGCTAACTTCGTGAGAGCTGTAAATGATAGCCTGTGCAATCATGGAGGGAAGATGGCGGGGTCCTCGACTCCCTCAGATACGGCCACCAGAAACCCTTTAATCACACATAGTCCTTGCCAGCTCTCCTATTGACAGCAGCAAATACCCCTAAAACAGGGTTTCCGCAATCTCCGCTCGCCAAACTCCAGCCAGTCGGGACTACTCATTGTCGAGCCCGCTAGCATCGGCATAGTATATCCCGACGCACAAATAACGCAAGAGACAGCCTGAAATTCCTCCAGTGATATCTACCATCATGATGCATCAACACATCTCTGAGATGCCTATATTCAACAGCACTTATAGTCGATGCACTTATTCCCTTGTCCTTGCAGTGCTCCAATCTAGATCTCTGCCCACAAAGGACTGGAAAATCACAGAATGCGGGGGCCTCAAGATTCGCTAGCTTTTATGCTATATTGCTAATGTCCATGTCCAGCAGTTTTTTGCTCAATATAACCTCAGTCAGCAAATGATAGGAAGTCTCTCTTGGCTCACCGATCTTGGTATATTCATTTACAAAGATTCTCTACCGTAGGGCTCAAGCTTCAAATGTCTACATTCAAAAGAACTCTCACGTCACAACCTCTTTACCTAGCCACTTCGATAGGATGAATTCCAGATTGGAACTGTCGGGAAAGTACGAGGCCCTTTTCATCCCCATGTTTAAGGACCTCCCTTGAGCTTTCATTTGACCAGGGGCACCCGCATTTCTTCGTCCACTCAGAATCTTGGAGCACATACTACTCATCTCTATAGTTCTACCCCTGCTACAGATACAGGGAAGGTTGGAGACGATGTTTATGTGCCACAAATTTCTCTGGGGATAATGTTGTTTTTTAGCTCTATATTCCTTAGTCTCACCCTTTGCAGGACAAGCAGGACATCTCTGCCTCACATCGACGGCTGCTCGTCGTGAAAGAGTAAGGAGGAACTATTGAGGTTTTCCCACGAAGGTCTTCCCTCAATACATGGTCTTAGGATCATGGTGAATGCGTTCTTACCTATTCGACCCGATGTAACTAGCGTGAGGCACGTATTTAGAAAAGTCAGGCACCGGATGGTCTTTGCTGGAGAATGGAGGAACTTGTATTCTAGATGTCCTCCATGCGTGTCATGTCCGTTGGATGGAGGGTGTAAGCCTGACACGATAAATATAATCATCATC